TTACAAGAATAATCGGTGTGTTTGCCCCGGCGGTGATGCTGGTACAGGCCATCACAGAAAGTTAGTGAGCCAGGCGCTGTATCACTTTCATTTCTTTAAACTTCATGTAAATGTTATCGCTCTACTTATTGAGCACCTATTTCACTGTGAATCTTTTCTCGTCGGTGAACAGGAATTCCGTAGGACAATTTTTTCGGATGCGACAGGCAGCTTTTGTTAGCCAACCTTTCTCTTCCCTTTAACCTGCTCTCTGGGGAAATCAGTTTCTGATCGTATAACGGTCTCGTTGTGCAGGAGGTGCTTCACGATTTCACGCAGAAAATTTCGTGACATAACCATTCATTTATCCTTTTTGGACTCAGAATGAATTTTGCTCCTACGTAGTCCTTTGCCCTGCTTTCTTGACACTTCCCCTAAATATAACCACAGCTTTTCTAGGTTCACCACTCCTATCTGCAATTGTTCCCAACTCTCGAGAGCGTCTTATGGTTGAATGCAATACCTGTCTTGTTTCGCTAGTTCGTCTGTAGATGCACCGTGCCAAAAGGGTTTGAAAATGCAAAGCGACGTTTAATTCAAGGACTTGTTACGCTTATATTATGTTAAAAATCTACCAAAAGTTTAGTATCATTAGAAAGGTAATAACGTAAGCTACTTTGTGGAATGGAAGAAATTCAATGAATTGTTATGAACATAGAAAAAAATTGCAATGAACGTCAGCGCGAGCTGTAATCATAATTTTGGCCCACCCTGCACAATAATAGCTGCTCGATAAGGAAAGTATTGCACTTGTCACTCTACACAAAACAACTATAGGATTCAAAAGGAATCGTCGATCAGCAGGGAGGAACTATCCGAGTCTTATCCAGCAAGATAACGCCACAGCACGTTGTATGAGAGGTGAAGTCGGAACTCGCGCAGTATTTTATCCCATGTAAAGACTAGCCATTGCCACTTGGACCACATTTCAGTTGTTGCGATTTCGGAAAGAGCTGAATACATCAAGTCAGAACTGTGCAGAACTGCCTTTCGCAGTCGCTGTGGATCATTACAACCTGCTTGGACTTCCTACATAAGTTCCCTCGTGATCGGTGCAGTCTTTACAACGCCGGTGAAACTCGTCTGAGGATACACACGATACAACCGACAAGCCTTCATAACTCACCAACTAGGCCGCTTTCCGACCTACTAGCGCCAGATATGGTATACGAGGGGACCTCGAATTTATTCTATGGGGGAAGTATCAGAAACCATTTTCATCGTGAACTGTGCCATTAAATATTGGTAAGTTACTTCTTACCTCACATCAATAACTCCACCTTCCCCGGTATCGAATTATCGTGCGCCCTATCTCGAAGTTCACATTATGTTCTGTAATGAACGCCAAGAACTTTACGAGTATGAAAAAGTGATGGCGAATGTTGTCCCCTCCCAAGCTCCGCCTCGGCCATGGCCATTACCTCAAGTGTGAATGCGTGGTTGTTTAATCGTTAATTTGAAAAATACCGTTTTGTTGTGCCAAAAGGAGGCACTCCCATCATGATTGCTATTTCTACTGATTGAAATAAAGGTTTCGACAGTAAGCTCCGCATATTTACAAAAGGCAATGTTTACCTTGTAATTCTCCAATGGGAACACATGGCCGCGTCCAAGTGTTTCGCCTCCGTTCATTTTTATAGTGTCAAGGTGCTTTCACTAGACTCCTCGAGACATGCTATCTGAAAGCAAACACCATGTTTGACAGACAATGAGCACAAAGGCGAACAATAACGGCAACCGATGATCTTGCTGTGGCTTAGGTGGTCCAAACCACCGTGAGATTTGAAACCACGCAAACGGAAGCGCAAGAGGACGCATAGAAGTGATAAGGCTTCGACAAATGAGACATCTTGTGTTCAGCATTTCAGCGAGAACCAAATGAAAGGCTCAACTTGTGAAGCTCTTGCGTATACGCGTTGGTTTCAGACTTCCCTGATACCACAACGGTCAATTGGTAATGGCCATATCGTTAACAGCTAATTTTCTTCGGAGCAGGACGTGGCTAGAGAAATAAGAAGCGAACTCTTTTCAGAGTATGATGACAGGGTAGCTATTATTAGTAGATCAATTTATCCAACCAAGAGATTTGAATTTTGACTAGTGCTTTCCTGTCATAAGGGAGACCACTATCCATTGAAGTCAAAAAGGCGACGAGCAGCCTAGTGACAGGAATGCGTCCACTTCTGAGTGAAATATCTGATTCGTAGATCAGAGAAAACAGAAATAAATGAAAAAGGATTGAAGAATTAGAAAAAAGATGGAAGCCCGAAAAAGAAGATGAGGGCATGATGTAAGAAATTCAAGCTATGAGGTGCTCCTACTGCAATGTTTCCATTAACAGTTTATTTCCTGGGTCAGTAAGGGCACGACACTTCTGAAAAATGAAGATATTACAACCAAATCATAAAAAATATCTAAGCGCACGAAAAAAAGGGCAAAAAAGAAGGAACAAGAGATAATGAAAAAGAGATAAAAACAGATAATACTTCCAGCGTTGACGCGCATTCAAAGCGGTCGATGTGATGACTACCAGATCATGGAGGCGCTATTAAAAGGAAACATCTGATCTAGTCGGGTCAGGAAGTAGTAGGCTTATTTGAAACTGTAAGCCGTTGCAGTAGGAGCGCTCAACAGAAAAGTACAAGCGTGAGTAAGATTCCCGAACGACGAATTTCTACGGAATCTCCCCACACCCACACTTCACGTTCGCTATTCCTAGTAAAAGTGATGCTGAAATAGCGTTCTCCTCTCTTCGGGTCTGGAGCTATGCAAAAACAAAAAGTGGCTCTCTCAACGACGATTCTCAATATGCCTCTCTTTGTGCACATTCGTTCGCACTTTCGTAGGAAGTTGTCAGTTTTTTCTCCGTGAAGAACCCTTTCATGGCTTGTTTGATTTGTGGAGCAAATTCGGGAGGTTTGAAATTGTGAAGGTCGTTCAGGCGGATCGGCTGTGTGAAGACCGTTTCGGACTTCTTAACGACTCATACGATGCAAGGTGAGGGGAAGAGCAACTTACGCGCCGCAAACTTAGGTAGTCACGCTCGAAGTAAACCAAAAAGATAACTGGTAACTGGGATCAGTGGATAACAATTATTGGTAAGGAATACAAGAGCACAAATGTGACGAAGAAGGAACTCAGGAGTGGGTTACCAGTGAATACTAACAGGACACTCTTCAGCACTATGATCTTGATACAAACTGGATTGCTCTCATTGCCGTAACCATAGAAGGTTAGCGACCTTCTACCTTTATGGCACTGTGAGCTTTGAGTTTGAAGCGTTACCAAGTAGTCATCTTTTTATGTAAGTATATTATCTGTACATATGGTAATGTGCAATGGAATCTACTACATATTCTAGAAAGAAAAGCAAATTTTTTGATGGCTATATAGGAGTTTGTGTCGTGATCAACCAGCACTTTTTTGATTAGAATTACTCCTTTGATATTATTGAAAAGCGATATGATATGCTATAGTATTAAGAACGATTCTGCTCTGAGAAAAACTAAGAAGGTACATCTGTGAATTAAAAAGCTTGAGAAAAGGATTCAAAAGAGGTAATCTTCCCAAAAACTCTCACGCAGTTAAAGCAGAACTGTTAGGGAGGACTTCCCAAAACGCTTCACAATAATTAATGAAAAAAGTGATCACGATTACCGAGCCCGTTTATGTGCTTTCTTCAGACAATAGTGATGAGCGATGGAGCATCTACATTATGATGTCTCTCTACTATAATCGATACTATGTATAACTTTAATGATTGGTAAGATGCTAGCTCGACTTTCAAACAGTTTGTGACCTCAAAGGATCTGCGATATCTTGTATTACCCTTGATAGACCCTAGAAGAAAGAAGTCGAACAAGGAGTTATTCCACCTAAACACTGCCAAGCCTGCTTCTGATGCACACGAGTGTGGCAAGATGGCAAAGCATTGATGCACGAAATAATTTCGAGAGGGAAAGTTGAGAAGTTGAGATAGAAAGGACTACTACTACTAATAGAACATTCATTCCAGTGTTCAAGAGTTACGAACCAACGAAGGTGCGGTTAACAAAATAACATAGGCACCGATGGGTTCATCTGTGCATTTGAGAAGCGTAATCAACTGCAAGGAGGATATTACCTATATGTACATATACACTCGATAGGTAATTCAGAATTCCTAATCATTTAAATTTGGATGGTTTTAATTTGGAAGGGATACAGAAAATGATCGGAAGTGATAAACTGATAGGGGACGATAAGGAATTTCAGAAGACAAGGCCTAGTGGGCTCGTTAGTTCCTGCATAATAAAAGTGGAACCTTAACACTTTGATGGATGATGACGGGTGTGATATGATCAAGGCTGGAAAACACCTACTTAAAGGTACAGTTCACGATAAAAATGGATTCTGAGATTTCCCCACAGGACGAATTAGAAGCCTCCGCGTATACCATATCTGGCACTATTAGGTCGGAAAACGGGAGTTATAAAGGCTCAAAGATTGGCTCGTGTGAATCCTCGGGCGAGTTCTACCGGCATTATAGAGGCTGCACAGATCACAAGGGAACCCATGTAGGAGGTTAAAACAGCTTGTCATGACCTATAGCGACAGTGAAAGAAAGTTCTGTACAATTCTGGCTTGATGTAGTCAGCTCTTTGCGCAATTGCAACACCCGAAATCTCGTCCGAATACCCCTCCTATGTTATTTCCGTCATGATCACCTCGTCCAACCTCTAATTCCCCTACTTTTGAGGAGCCTTATTTTCCTAAAAATCGGCGAATTTCTCGCTTTCTTCACTACCGATGACCGCATTTCGAATAAAAACGGGTACCTCAAAATTATCGTGAACTGTGCCTTTAATACTAATGGAAGCTGATACTAGGGTTGAGTCACTGAATTTGTTAATCTCCTCTTACTAACAGAGGAAACATGGCATTTAAAGACACAATTGACGATAATCCAGTGCAGAGTAGTGCGAAAGTGGCGAAGAAAACGAGAAAATCGAAACTTTTTAGATGAGTGTAACGCTTCAAAAAAGTAGCAAAATTAGGGGTTGGACGAGAAAATCGCAACAGTAGTTGCACGGTAGGGGTATTTGGACGAGCTGTTCAATTGCGAACACGTGGCTACGGTAAGCTGCCTGGGTGCAAGGGTGGGTCCCGGTACGTATGGTGCAACCTCTACAGCTCCTACAACACTTAAGAACTCGTCTGCCTTCTAAGTGTACGACAGCTGAGCAGGTTTGGAACGCTTATTCCGCCCTGTCTTGGCCGTTTTTCGACCCCACAGCGTTCCTTAGACTATCCTTTGAGGCCGCAAGTTCAGCCTAGGGACAGATTTCAGAAAGCATTTTTATCGTGAACCGTGTCTTTGAATGAGTGTGTAGGGTTTCGTTATCGAACATGGTTGGGGACAGGAACTTATAAAGAATCGCAAGGTTGGTAGGGAGCCACCAAAATCAAATCGTTTCTAGAAACTCCCACTCTTTTTATTATCAGTAAAGCCTTACTTCTTCAGTGTGTGATAGGGTGCGAGAGGATCGCAGATAACGAATCACAAAAAATGATAAATCTGATAAAGGCTGATAAGGGACCCGAGAAGGAACGAACCACACAGTTCCCAACGATGTAGCCTTGCTTTCTAGCGTGTAAGAAGGAGTGAAGTGCTGACAAAAAATGAATGATAAGTGCAGTAAGACCATTGGAAATCAAAGTAAAGTTAACACTAGAAGGATAACAAAATTCGATTTACTACCTACTATTACATCACTACCTATCCCGCGTTTTCGATTGAGTAATGGATCACATACTCTGTTCATTCCTATATCAAATACGAAAAAAACCTATCCGATCATCGATAATTGAGAACATTGAGTAGAGGTTCGCCTTTTTAAAGATAAAAAGAACCATTGATGCCTCATAGATAAGGACTACTGATAAAGGCACTGTAATCAATCAGTCGACAACTCTAATGGATATCATTTGAGGCTTGGCTGAACGAATCAGATTGCTCAGTTATGGAAAAGTCGAACATCCGCGGACCCAAGAAAGAAATTAATTAGATCTTTAATGGAAGATTACTGCTAGAACAAGAAGGACAGGTCGAGATGTATTGATAAGAATTCGAACTTAAGCATCACCACATGCAGGAAACCATTTGCACTGCTCTGATTATGTCGAGGTCCCCTCTCAGTGTCCTTAGAAATTTGACGATAGTAATGACAAAAATTTTGTTGAAAAAAAAAAGAATTCATCCGAGCATTCATAATTCGTTCCTATGAGTTGGAGCTCTTCGTAAGCGAGACCACTGCTGAGATTTAAAACATCAAAAAGGAAAGGAAATAAGCTGGGACAACCCTCTCGGGCCCATGAGTAAGAGCTTTCCTTCGCCGATGTCCTGAGCGTTTCATAATTTCCTAGCATGGCAACAAAGGGCAGCAATCCGCTCTCAGATGAAGGGTCAGAGAGGATAATTAGAAAGGTGACTCACTACCTATAATGTGTCGGAAAAAATGGACGACAGGGTTAGCACACACGGTTCCGTGACTGGATTCGTACGAACGTATAAGGGTAGATTTTAATCGTGACCTAGCTGATGAAGGAGATCTAACAGCTCTAAGCCAGCATCTTTTGAGAGCAATCTCGAA